CAGTTAAGAAATTATATATATATATATATATAACCAGTGCTTTTCTTCATTGATATTATAATATTATTTGGATCTTATAGGGTGACTTGGTTGCACATGGCAAAATGACCTTGGGCTGTTTTGAGTACAGTTAGAAAATATCATCATCTAAGGTTTTCAAAACAATTTTTCATGGAGGCCACTTCACCGGCTTTGTTTGCAAATTAGCAGTTAAGAAAGGTGATAAATAGAAAGATAAGTGGTTGCAACAACTCTCAAGGGTTTGTTTTGAATGGCTTTGGCTTTTTTGTAAAAGTAGTTGTTAAGTTGTGGTGGAGAAAACTTCTTAGAAAACTGCGTTGGGAAATTTAAATATATATTTTTTTTCAAAATATCATTTTACAATTTTTTATGAGCACCTTATTTTAATAAAGTCAGGTTGAAAAAATAAATTCCCATCACAAAAATTTAAAAAAACAATAAAAAAATAGTTTTCCAAATAAAATTATGGTAGTAGTCTCAAAATGTAAAACAAGCAAAAAGTTATCCGAAAAAGATCAAAAGTCTTAGAAAGTACGATCGTATGGCAAAGGAAAAAGAAAAAAAAACTCTTTTCAAGGAGTTGAAACATCGACTTCTTTTTGGTGGGAATCGCTAATGCACTTCTTGTGAGACTTGATTGTTCCATCTTGTTACATTCATTTTTTTTATGATAATGATTTTTATATTTTATACTAAATTGAATAATGATGACACATTAGGGCTTTCCTTTTTACGAACAGTTAATAATTACACTAAAGATTCATTTTATTAGAAGTATTTACATTTATGCATCTTTTTAATTAAAAATTGGAAGAAAATAAAGCAAAGTCCTCTCTCTCTCATGTTTTCTCATTATTCCGTCTCAGCCGTCCTCTCTAAAATAAAATTTTTGAACACCCGCTTAAGTCAGAAATGTGGCAATTTCTTTCAGTTGTTGTTGACCTCACTTTTGTGATGTCTATTCAATCATAAGAACATAAAGTTTTAGCTTTAGGATTTTCTAGTGCCTTTTTAGATGATTAGAGATGGAAGCAACACCCATCTAGAACTTCAAACCAATTTTATTTTCACTTAGGGTTTCATTGGTTGAGTTCAAATCCCCAACCTTTAGTTGAGATGATTAGGGCTTGAACCTTGAAGCCCAAGATATTCGTCATTGGTGGCAAGTGCCTTAAGTTACCCATTAACCTTAAGAGTCTTAAGGATCCTTTTTAGTAACCCACTAACTATCCTAATCAAAATCCTAAAAAAAAAATGAAATCTTATGACTAAATATAACTAAACCTATGGGATTGGATCATCACAATTGGACATGGAGCTTACCCAATTTCTTTCACCAAAACTAAATAACCCTAAAATCATAGAGAAAATTAACATAAACCCTAAATTAAACTCTCAACTCATCAAAGAAATTAAAAAAATTAGAGGCAAGTATTACCCATGGCCAACTAAATATTGATAATTAAAATCATTAACATCTAAAATCAAACTAAGGTCAACCAAAAGCTCCAATATTGAATTTGCTCAATTAAACCTAATAATTAAATTAAATCAAATTAAATTCCTAATTAAATGCATTAAATTAATTATTTAGTTAAACTAATTCTAAAGCCCAAAGGGCGAGCCCAACCATCCATAGCATAAACCCAAAATCTAAGGTCAACAATCCAAGGCCCCCAAACCATAAAACCTTGAAAAGAGACCCATATGACTTAAATAATCCACCATAACACATCAACATAATTAGTAGTTAATTAAATTAAATAAAGGATGAAACAAACACAAAATGATAAGAATACACACTTAGCCAAGATGGCCACCACATGGCACCCAAGTCCAACCCTTTTATCTCCAATCCTTGGGGAGTCAAACAGACTAAAATTGGTCCTGGCTCCACACCAAAGCTCTACCCAATCACCCAAAGCCCTTGTCATGCCATCCTCTTCCCCATTGGAGCTCGCCATGGTCAAATAGTTCAAAAATGGGGGAGGCTTCCATCCCTCTTATGAAGCTCTTGAAATCCCTCTGCTCATGCTTTGAGGATTAACGAGATCCCCAAGCCCACTAGAGCTTCTCTCTTGTCTTCCTATGGCTATATAAGGAGCCATCCCGAGAGCCTCAAACAACACTGAAACTCTCTAAACCCTTGAAACCCACCATCTTGAACACAAAAAATCTCCTCACACACCTTATCGACCCACTCCCCCATGTTCAAGCTATCTTTATTACTCCACAACACAAATATCATTGTCGAAGATTAGGACCAGTCATGGCCTTGACATAAAACCTCCCCAAACTCAAAATTAGCCATCTTAAAAGCTTCACAGAGGCCTAAAACCTTTGTCTCAATCAAAATCCTTTTGTCCTACACCCCCTAACCAAGCCTAACCCCAGCTCGAACCACCCTTTGGTCTTCAACATACCTAAGATCAATTTCAGATCAAATTAAAGCATGAAAATGGTGCTTGCATCTAGTGAAAAGCTTCGCACCCATCCAATTGAGGTATCACCTCTTGGACATTGGTAATGGCTCAAAACTCTTATAATCCTCTTAGGGTTGGTCTTTTATGAAATAATCAATAATTCATCTCTACATAGTCGAACATATATGTTTAGGTATAGGATCAATCAAAAAGAGATTTCATCTAGCTCGAGACCTTAAGTTTAGAAGGCGTGCAGTTAAGAAATTAAGGCACGTTGAGTATGATGATGGACTATCGTCCAATTCATTATATTGAAAACATACAACACTAATCATGTAGTAAGGTGAAACCATGGAGATCAACACACAGGATCATTGCTAGCGAGGTATCCCATGTAGAATGTTGACCAAATGGCAGCGTCATGCCGAGGCTTTGATGCTTCGATGCCAACAAGGTTGATGTGGCGTCCGCGTGGAGAAGTAGGAAAATATGAATTTTTTATTTAATTAAATATAGAAAATGCCAATTTACTTTAAAATATCATATATTAATAAGTAAAAATAAAATAAATAAAATAAGAATACTCATAAACTTAGTGACTAGAGAAGAAATTAATCAAACTATAATTAAATTAATTTATTGATATTTAATTTTTAATTAATTAAAGTCTCCAGACAATAATTTATTAAATATAAAGAAAAATAATGAAAATTTGAGGGTTTGTTCCCTCTGTCCGTGGGATCCCCACATCAACAAAATTTCTAATTTTCTAACAAAATTATATTTTTTTGAAAGATAATTATATAAATTAAAATATTAATTAGAAAAATAGAGATTCAAATGGAAATCAATAAAGAAATTTACAACAATGATTTTCCACACTAAAATGATAATTTTTATCTCTTAAAATTAAAAAATGAAAATAAACATGTGAATGGTGAACTTGAATAATTTGAAAACTTTACATTTAGCCCATTTGTCTCCTAATTTTTATTAAATAGAAATATTAATTTAGGAACCCTAATTTTAGGACTTAATAGAAAAATTAAAGATAAACCCTAAATTTAAGAAGGGTCATCCCTAATTAAGAAATTATTCTCATTTAATGATAAAATTTACAACCTTAAGCAAAAATGAGACATCAATTCACTAATTTTCCTCTTTAAGAAATCTAGAAAGGATTAGTAGGCCAACGAACCTTAAGCCAATTTACCTTAGGGCCATCTTGAAAATCTTAAATACTTAATACGAACCTATTAAAATATGCATTTTCAAACATTTAAAGATCATCAAATATAAATTAAAGAATTCAAAAAAATAGAATTAACAGGGATTTGAGAGTTTGCAAATACTCCCAAGGGGTGAATTTGGACATCCTCAAGACTCAGAACGTCATCAAAGAAAAATTAACCCGCAAACATGGAAGATTATACTCAAGATGGCCCTAAACTAGGAATATACTTTCACATATAAGCAATAAACCAAGACATTTTTTTATGAACTCAAGTAATACATAAGTACATCCTTAAAATTTTTTGAGAATAAAATTTCACAAAATCCTAAAAATTAAGACTGTTATAGTCTACCAAACTAAATTAACATATATTAATTATGATATGAGGTGTGTTTTCGGTCTTCTCCTCGAGAACGAAAGCACATTTGACTCAATTCATTAACACTTAACCAAGCTTGAACTCAACCAAGTAGATAAAAAAGGGTTATGTGAAGAAGTTACAACTCATACACTACATTCTTTCTCATAAGGTGGCTCTCATTTCAAGAATTAATCTATTATAATATCTGATGACCCGACCAACACTTTGTGGATGTTTAGCAAAATAAGCAATGATACTACTCCAATTTGACATAATCCTAATGCCTCTACATGCCATCAAAGGATATATCATGACGGACCTCTTAGCATTGCCTCCGATACCGGTAGGGTCCCCTCTCGATGAAGAACTACCATACTACCAAATATGGAGCTAGAGGGTCCCTATGCTCAATAGTGGGAAATACAGTCCGATGGAGCTTCATATGCCTTATATATATAATTATACTTGATAAGGTAGGAGTTGCATTAATCTTAATCACTCAGGACCGAGCGATGTTGCATTTCTCCTACCACCTGATAGAACCATGCACAAACAACAAAGCAACATATGAAGCACTCATAACTGGATTGGAGCTTACGGTCCTAATGAGGATCAAAGACATTAATGTTTATGGGGATTCTCAACTAATCATTAATCAAGCAACTAGATGGTAAAAGGTTCTCAAACCAAGTCTAGAATAATTCTTACACTACATAATTATATTTTTGGAAAAAATTCCAAATGTTGCACTCTTTTAATTTCTTAAAAGAGGAAATTTGTTTGCAAATGCTCTGACAAAGTTTGCAAAAGAGTTCGTATGTTAGGAGGACAATCATATTCCCATCTTTAAGCGACAAGTTCTCTTGCAAGTTAACATGAACAACCTTCACAAAATCAGTGCCAATACAATAGTAGCAGCCACTGATGAAGAAAGTGAAGATTGGCATGTTGACCTCACCTTTTTTGAGGTTTGGTCTTTCTTCCTTAGAAGCCTAGGATCTGGACATAGGACTTTCCTGTTGACTATCCTAGAGGATTAGTGAAGGAAACCTACACAAAAAAAATTCTAAACATCTTTTTACTCTTCTTGGAGTTCCAAATTTTTAGTTTTGACCTTTAGCACTTTGAAGGTTTAAACTAACATGAGGGAGCTCAAAAGGAGTCCCCATAGGATTGTCAGGCTTTAGAGTTTGCCTTAGGTGGCTTTGTTTTGGTCTTGATCAGACCCCCCCACACACACATTCCCCAAAACCCTAAAATCAGTCACATTAGCATTTCCCCACTCTTTTAGAAACTCATGTTGGTGGTCCCCAAGC